TCCAAAAAAAAAAAAAAAAAAAAAAACCTTATAAGGTATTTTATTGTGTGTTTTTTTTATAACTCAAATCACAATTTAAAATTTTATAGGGAAAAAAACACTATAATAAAAAGTTTAAATTTAAATTTTTGTAATAAAAAATACTGTAATAAAAAAAAATTGAGTTGTAGAAAGAATAAGGTCGTACTAAACCCTAAAAAAATAAAAATTATAAATAAAACCCCATGAGGTATTTGGGAAGGCTTTTTCTCAACTTCTTTAAATAGCGTTCGCTACCCTTCCTATCTCAATCGTGGGCCTCTTTTCTCCTTTAAACGTTTTTTGGTTCCATGCGTGCCTTTCTCTGGTTTCCTCCTCTCTTACTTTTCAAAGTGGTTCCTTTGCCTTGCCTTGCTTTTCTTTTCTTATCTTTTATTATTATTATTATTATTGTTATTGTTATTATGATCATTGAAATTGTTGTTTTTCTAGTGTACTTTAATTTAGGCCACGAAAACGAACTCCGATCTGTCCATATGGGGGTTTTGCTTATACAACCCATTGCGTAATACTAGGCTACTGGCCCTTTTGAAAAAAAAAAAAATATATATATATATATAGCATCCGTAATTATATCTTATTATAACCAACAAAGATAAGAATGACAATTCCTCCACTGCCCACCAAGGCGAATATTTAGAATTTTCCCACTTTGGACAAATGGAAGAGAAAGCTTGCCAACCTAAGACTCTAGTATCAAAACGAGCCAAAATGGATTTATCTCGTGATTTGCTTCCTTAAAAAATTCCATTGCCTAAAATATATCGTAATATAGATTCTACCCTCCATCAAATTAAAAATGAAAAAAAAAAAAACAAAAAAAAAAAAAAAAAAAAAAAAAAAGTACCCGTATTTAGTGGGGGGGTAAAAGAAGTCGCCAGTGCAAGGCAAGAGAGTGGTGGTGGTTGGCAAGCATGGGACCTAATCTCAAACAATTACTCTCTTAAAATCTTTTTATGTGAAAGGTGGGTGATGAAGTTATTGAATCAAATTTAATTTGAGGGAACAAAACCCATGACCCCTTTTTGAGATCAATTGGCCCATCAACATGTGTGACCAAAAGTATATTAAGGAGCAAAGGAGGGAAGCTAGACGTGGGAGAATGATGGTGATGCACTTGTGTTTGGTTTCTCTTTCCACTTTGAATATAACCACATGAAAAGAGAGGCATTTTCATTAGTGAAAGACTGGAAAATGTTTATTGTAACAAGTTTATTGGAGTTTTGGAGAGAGCAAGATTGCCCCTTGTAGCTACCACCAGAAGTGGGGTATCAAAACTTTGTTAACGCCCTTTTTTTTTTTTTTTTTTTTTTTTTTTTTTTTTTTTTTTTTTTTTTCATTACCTCAAACAGCTTTGTGAAAATTTACTTTTTTACCTTTTTTTTTATTTAAAAAAAATGTGCCGTTTCTGGAGCACAATTGTCAGATCTCAAAACTAACAATGTAAGAGAGAGGAGAAATGAAAGATGGAATGAGCATCATCCATAAGGGTCCACTTGCAAGAATCAAGGTGAAAAGGCATGCACTAATTTGTGAGATTAATTATTAAATGCAGTTTCTTGTGAAGAGTAGTTCTCAGTACTATGTGTGTGTCAGCCTTAAAATTCAATTGTCACAGAAGCAAGTTGGATATGTAAATGCTTATGGCATAAACAATCGTATTACATGTATAAATTGGCAATCAATTCCCTGACCAAACAATTGTATACCTTTTTTCGGCTCTATTGTATGTGGCTAACCATAAGGTTTAATGGTACATATATTTGTAAAATTAATGGTAGAGCAGGAGGCTTAACATGTTCATAAAAAGAGTTATATATATGGTACGACTATTTCTCAAGTTACCAAGTTGGCACCAAGGGGTGAGACGCATTGAAGTCATTTGAATGGTCCAAACATGTGGGAAATGTCATCAAATAATAAGATAAAAAAAGGACGGCAAAATATCAATACTTTCTCCAGTTGCATAGCTTTTAAGCAACCACAACGCAATGAGAACGACAACTGCCGCTACAATTATATAGGCATTTCCAAGTCCCAAGCCAGAAACTTAAAAATCAAGTACAGTTCCATGGTTGTCTACGCTGAGGAAAGGTAATTGTCAAAAACTCAAATCACAACTTTAAGTTCTTTTATTACAGTAATTTTTCTCGTAAAAATTTAAATTTAACTTTTTTATTACAATGTTTTCTTGCACATAAAAAATTTAAGTTGTGACTTCAATTATGAAAAGAACACACAAATTTGTTGATTAGGTTAAGCTAAGCACCCCAAAGAAAATCATAAGCCAAGAACACATGCATGAACATCTGCGACCAAAATCATTTATAGTAAGTTAGCATCAACTTGTTTATTCATATACAGGTTGGATCTGGATTATGATCAAATTAAACACGGCTCTATGATGCGAACACACAATACTGCATATTGACAAAAGGACACATGACGCAGAGTTAAAATAACATAACAAAAAGTACACTAGGATTAAACCACAAAACATTCAGAGCACAGTTGATCAAAACTAGGATTAAACCACAAAAAGTACACTAAGAAAATATAGAATAATCATGCAATAAGCAAACTGACGTACATAGTTACAAGCAAACATATTCCGAACGCAGTTAATACTAGGCATTTGAAGATTAAACCACAGAAAGTATACTGAAGAAAAAATAATATAAACAGGCAATAAACACACTGATGCATCATGACACGAGATTATTTGATACCATAGTCAAGTTTTACTAGACTAAGCAACATTTAAGTTACAAAACATAGTCAAGTATGAAACAGCAAGAAGGGAATTTATTCGAATCCATATTTGATATTACTAAATATTTTAATCAATCTCTGCAACTAGCAAGCTAAGAGAGATTACAAATATCAATGAGGGGAATAGCCCTTGTTAAGGGAATGCACCAAAAGAAACGGAAAAACCAAACTTTTCCGTTGGTGTGCAAATAAATAAGAACTCCACCATTGAAGGAAAAAGGCAGCTTGCAAAGGCCAGTGAAGTAGCAGATACTAACAGATTCCAGATTGGATTGACCATCATCTAACACATTATTGTTTCTTCTATCCACAGAGCATTTGCCTTCAGAAGGCAAAGACCGAATCTGCAACCCCAAATCAAAATAAAATAAATGTTTTGCCACATGGGCAGTAAATTAATTAAGAAACTTGGATCGCAATTACCTTTACAAGAAAATTGATTCTGCCATTATATCTCTCTCAACCTCATAACTGATACTATGTGATTCCCATTAACTTTCCTAAAAAAATTAAAGGATTCTTCAGCATATGAAAACTCTCTCTTCCTGTGTTGGGTATGTAGAACCCATTCTCCGACTAATAGTTTCAACTGAAAATTAAGCATCATCAGCAATATTCACATTTTTAAAGATTCAGCCACTTCCATGTTTGTCTAATAATCTTGGATAATCAACGGTTGAGATCATCCAACTCCAAGAAATCTTCATTTAGAATGGCAAGTAAATGGTCATCTGTAAAAGCATCGATATTCATCTGCACCATGGCACAAAAGAGAGCATGAATAATTTGGAGAAAAATATGAGCATTTGGTGTAAAAAAAATTAAAACAGAATAAGCAAGCAATAAACATATATTAGCAACTATAATATGCAGACCACTCTAGAAATAAAAACTTAAAAATGCAACACCCACTCTAGACAGTTATTAAACAATGTTGACAGCTAAAAGGATGATAGTACTTGTAACTATCTGAATGACATAGAATAGGAACTACAATGAAACATGTTTCGAGTTCGGTTTAGAATGAAACACACTATAGGATATCTTGTCACATACGTTTGCACGTAATAGCACAAGATGGAGTTTGGATTCGAGGGAAATAAGAAGTCTATCTGTAACAGTTTCTGTAAAACTTCCATTGTTTTATCATGTTTCAATGTTTTTACAGGATGATTTCATCTGGATATCCGAAACAAGTAAAACAAACGAGGGTCCTACCAATATCACATGGTTTTAGTTTTACACAAAATTCAAAATTTGTATTCTGAAGAGTATTGGACAAACAGGGAAATATTATATGATGACATTTGTCCACTTTATGCCAAACAAGAAAATGACAAAAGAAAACCTCACTGACCATCACTGCAAAAAAAATATACAACTACAGAATTAAAATAGTTCATGGTCTAGCTATGTCTTCGGACGAAATGTGATAAAACAAAAACAATAGTAGAAATGGTGGTAATAGCACTTCTCAGCTAATGAAAGGAATTGTTCAAATAGTTTACCTGCGTATTAGGCTCACTGCATAGAGGAACTTGAATGCTTGCCATGGGAGCTGGCCTAGTCGCAATCTGATCATCTACCTCAATGTCATCGTTCCTACTAGAAATGTTGTCTCCATCATGCTGAATTCCAATGTGGCGCACAGCCGAAAAACTTTCTTCAGCACAAGAAACTAAACCATTCTCTGATATGCTATTTCTAGGACAAGATTTGTTGAACACTCGGCACAGGACAAAAGAAGCCTGCAGGTAGACAAGAATTAATGCCCCAAAAGAGGGATATGCGTTTTGCATTTTGGTTTTGTATATAAAGAGTTTAACTTTTTCATTTTGGTTTTAATAGACCAAAACAAGGCCGGTCACTAAGTCCGTGTAACTTCAAAAGTTCGACCCTTTTTACAGTCTCAAATCATTTCCAACAAAAAAAGGCCATCAAAACCAGTCCTGTTCACTGCATGATAGAGACGGGAACCTATTTCGCTTGAATTTACTGTCTAATGGAAAAAACTATTAGCACATTATAAGATAGAAAACCAAGCATCTGCGGCAGAGTCAAAGAAACTATGTAAACATAGCACGACTTTTTTTCCTTAAAGAAGGCTTTTGTTTTTTTGTTTTTTCGTTTGTTTTTATTTTTTTATTTTTTATTTTTTATTTTGCCCTTTTCGCATTACCAAAATCGAACTGAATATTCCAAATGGTCTACAAGGACGCACAATGCGGAACCAAATTCCACGCATCCAAAAACCTTTACGGAAACCAAACCAAAATAAACCCAAAAAGGAAAAATCCGAAAACGAAAGAAACCTCTCAATAATCAACTGGAGCCAGTAAGAGCCGCCACGCATATATAATTAAAAAGCAAAACAGAACAGAACAAAACTAATAAACCCCAAACTTCCGTTCCAACAAAATATGCGATAATTCCACCAAAAACACAAACTTGATTGGCTTATCAATACGAAGAGGAACAGAAGATATTCTACCTTAAGATGATCAATAGGGGCATACTCATACAAAACCCAATTGGTCCTGAAGGCCGTCTTGGCCGAATTCCCCAAATAAAACACGAATTTGGTCCTGGTCCCAAGGTCTCCCCTCCCTCCTTGCCCCATGACAATCCTCATCCTTCCCTTCCTCCTCCAGAACCCGCTCCTCGCCCTCCTCTTCCCTCCCCTCTCCCTCACCGCCCCACCGCCAGTGTAGCAGAACCAGTGCCTCTTCTTCCCTCCGCAGCCGTACGCGTAGCACGCGCTGTTCGGAAGCTCGAAAGGATCGTAGCCGTACAAGTCAAGCTCTCCGATCAGGTTGTTGCCCTCGGCCCTCGCGCCGCCGGGCTCCGCGTTCTTCCCGCTCAGGTAGTGGCGGAGCAGCTCCTCGTCCGAGGGGTGGAACCGGACGCCCGGCGGAAGAGGAAACGACGTCGCATTGGCATCTCCCATTGATGAGAATTTTCTTCGAACAAGAGCAACAAAAACTCCGAGTGAAACACACCTCTTATATAACCAGAAAGAAGCGTGCTCATTAAGCTTCTACCGTTCTACGAAACTCTCTCATTCTCTGCATGCGCATCTAACTAAGTTACGTAGGCCATTTCTTTCATCCAATGATGAACGCCCACGTGTCACAATTGTAGAACTGGATGAGCGTGATATCCACGCCGTGTATTTATTGGCTGGCTGACGGGACAGAGTAGACTTTGGCGACTGTCTGACGTGGAATGGAAACTACGTGGAGGTCTACAGTTAGCTCCGCTGTCATAGCCAGTGGGTGACGTTCTTCCCGCTCAGGTAGTGGCGGAGCAGCTCCTCGTCCGAGGGGTGGAACCGGACGCCCGGCGGAAGAGGAAACGACGTCGCATTGGCATCTCCCATTGATGAGAATTTTCTTCGAACAAGAGCAACAAAAACTCCGAGTGAAACACACCTCTTTATATAACCAGAAAGAAGCGTGCTCATTAAGCTTCTACCGTTCTACGAAACTCTCTCATTCTCTGCATGCGCATCTAACTAAGTTACGTAGGCCATTTCTTTCATCCAATGATGAACGCCCACGTGTCACAATTGTAGAACTGGATGAGCGTGATATCCACGCCGTGTATTTATTGGCTGGCTGACGGGACAGAGTAGACTTTGGCGACTGTCTGACGTGGAATGGAAACTACGTGGAGGTCTACAGTTAGCTCCGCTGTCATAGCCAGTGGGTGATATTTTCTCGGTCGTTACCATTTTGGGCACAGCATACCAGCCGTTGGATTTGAGTTGTGTTATTGTAACGGTGAAACTCCGGAGTACGTTAGCACAATAAAGTAATAACAGATTGGAAGTTTCCAATTTCGGACAAAATAATGATAGATTTTTCCTGTTTGGTCCGAACTATTTGGGAAATGTTCAATGCACTCGCTGTCTGAAGTGAATAGGAGAGTGTCTGTGCCAGGTGTCGGTTGTTGGACCGCGAGTATCTTGGTTGAGTTCAGAACTGCGCGTGTTCATTGACAAAGTTTACTTTTCTTGGTGAATAAACTACTTGGTGGTCAACAATGAAAGATAATGCGGCTGTCTAAAACTCGACCGACGGCGATTTACGACAGGCGAAATATTAAACCAACGAGGAATATACACGTCAAAAAATCATTTTTCCCACGAACCTGGCTTTGTGGCTTTATCCAAAATAATTATTTTCTTTTCAATTTGTCTGCTTATTGGTTTTTAAAAATTTCTCCATTAAAAAAAAATCACCTGACCTGTTTTTTTACTTGATTAAATAGTCCAATGAAAGAAGTGGACGACAAAAATATTAAAAAAAGTTAAATTCTTACTGGGAATGTATTCCAGTGATTTCAGGAGTCCCATTTGCGTAGTAATATTTAATAAAACATTAAAAAAAAATTGGATATAAAAAGTATAACCAAATATTTGATTTCACATTAAGTTATAAAAAGTATCTTCACTGCACAATTTTCAACTGTGTATTTTTATCAAATTGTATTAAAATGGTATGGCATAAGTTTAATATAATTTTTGTATATTATGAGGATTAATTATTATATAATATTTCTCTAAAAAATCTAAATATTGATGAATTATTTTCTTATAGCCTATAGATAACTCTCCATTAAAGTAAACAAGACAAATCCTCTATTTTTTGCCCCCTTTTTTCTTCTCCTTTTAAGAGGGATGATCCTAGATCTCTAAAACCTTCACTAAACCCTAAATATTTATATTTTTCTTTAAAAAAATATATTATTTGTCTTAATCTTGTACATATATATTATTTATATAATTCTAAATAATTGAGTATCATTCTGATATTTCTTTATTAATTGAATGAAAATTGTTTAACTTTTAGTGGGGTGGTATAAATAACATTTTTTTTTCCATCTTTAGTATTTCTGGATTTTTCTAAAAAAAAAAAAAAAGTATTTAGGCTGCGGCCTTTCCTTGCACAATCGCTTATAGAAATAGGCCCAACCAACACATCAATGGGCTTTACGTTGTCAACGTGAAACCTAGTTTCAACTCCACATATGAGTCGGTGGATGGTTTTCTTCTCTCCAGCGAAGATCCTTTTACCTCCTTGTCTCCTACGGTTAGTGCTGAAAGTCTGGCGAAAACTAGGCCGTTTATAAATATTTCACAATGCCAAAAAAAACTAATTAAAAAATATATGAGACTTCTGCTTTATTGCATTTCGATTTTCTCTATTTCTGGGAAAATCCAACTGCAATTTGGAACGTGTGGATTTGCAAAATTTGTTTCTCATTTGGGTGTAATTGCCAATCGAGTTCAAATTCGAGATACTTTTTCTCACGGATTCACTCATTCACAATCTTTCTTCATCCAATTCGAATCTAGTGACAGAAAGGATACTGAATTCAAGCCCTAGAATTTCATACGTCATGAAAGATAGTACATGAAGTAAATAAACACTAGTTAATTTTACATTTCCAAATATTTCGAATCAATCCTGCGTTTATCATTTTTATTTTTCAAATTATATACATGATTTATCTGCTTATGATTTAATTCATGACATCTTTAAGTTTGTGCAATAACCAATATGTGTCGACTGTGTTTCTCTTTTCTACAATAGGAGAGTGAATGTCAATAGTCAATAGAAAAGGCTCAACTTTTATTGCGCACACAATATTTCAAAACTAACTTTTTTTTTAATTTAGGCTAAAGACCTATTGCAACACTTAGGCCGTTTGGTTCGTTAATTCGAGTTGAGATGTGATGTTATGTGAGAGTTTTTTACTATACTCGAATTAATTCGAGTGGAGATGTGATGTTATGTGAGAGTTTTTTACTATAGCAAAAAAATTAGATGTGACTGTTTTTTAGAACTTTTTACTGTAGCAAAACTCGAATTCTAAACTCGAATCAGCAAAAAGAACGGGAAACTTATGGATAAACAGGCTACTTTTATTGCTCATTTTCCTCTGCACACGAGGGATGCCATTTTTTTCTCTCTTTCAGTATTCAACTTTGGCTTTGCATGCCAGTGAAACTTATAGGTGAATATGTCGTATCCATAAATTCCTTTGTCAGATTCAAGGGCGCATTGTTACAATTGTAACAAAAAACCAGACTCAACAAACCAAACTCATAAGAACTCACACAAGAATGAAGAAGAAAATTGAAAACTTTATTTCTGACTTGCTTCAAGAATTACAGACTTGCTCCTTTCTAATTCTCTCACTAGAAATCTCACTGCCTTTTTCTTTCTCTCTCTAAGTTTTTAGACTTCCTGTTACCAAAAATGACTTTACACCGCTTACTTAGGTTTATACACCTAAGCCATCACCGACTAACTCACTTGTAACAATTATTACACTTAGACAATTACAATTAATGATGTACACTCAATTGTTCACGTTAGCTACTCAAGACTTTTAATCAATCGCTACAGATGCTTCAACAAATCTCCACCTTGAATGTTGGATTAACCGTCTTGACATCTCCTTAGTCTTCTTCCCAGAAAGCTTCTTTAATGCACTACTAGTTTGACAGACAACAAACCCAAGCAGTACTGGAACTTTGAAGTTGATAATGACTTAGTAATCATATCAGTTGCATTTTCCTCAGTAGAAACCTTCTTCACCTGCACTTCTCCACTAGACATAATATCTCTAATGAAATGCAGCCTCACATTAATGTGTTTAGTTCTCTCATGAAACACTTGATTCTTTGACAAGTGTATATCACTTTGACTATCACAGAGAATCACCGCTCCTTCATGTTCAGCATCTTACTCCCCCAACAACCCTTTAAGCCACACAGCCTCTTTTATTGCTTCTGTCAGAGCAATATACTCTGCCTCCGTAGTGGATAAAGCTACTACATGTTGATGAGTGGCCTTCTAGCTACTGTACACCCTTGAACTTAGAATGAATAACCTGTAATAGATCTTCAATGATCCAAATCCGCTGTAAAATCTGAATCTACATACCCCATCAATTCATTAATAGCACCTGTTGGACCATATACTAAACCATGATAAGAAGTTCCCTGCAAATATCTTAGTATCCACTTTACTCCTTGCCAGTGTTGCCTTCCAGGATTGCTCATGAACCTACTAACCATACTTACAACATAAGCTAAGTATGGCTTTGAACATATCATGCAGTACATCAAGCTACCTACAACACTTGAGTAAGGTACAGATTCCATGAACTTATTCTCATCTTCTATTTCTGGTGAATCAGCTATTGGTTTTCGAATCGAATTCGGATGCGGAAGCGTGGTGCGGGGAGGGAGAGGCGGATCGTGTATAACAAAAATTTTCATAAAACTTTTGAGATACTCTATAGATTATATTAATTTATGCACGAATAAATTAATCTCATTAACTTATATATATCAAGAACTCAATCAGGAAAAATACCTGGAAGCTAACTCGGATGATAACTTGAGTTCTTTGACCACGAACAGTCCTTGCTCCAATCTTTGTGTTTAAAAAACCAATGTCTTCCACATCAATTCCTAGAATCCACAAAGACGTGTATGTGGGCACACATGAGACAAAACGGGTTACAATAAACACTCGAATTTTCACAAACACCAACGCATGCACGATGTGAAATTTTTGGAGAAAATTTTTTTTCTTCCTTTCTCTCTTGAGAATTTCGGCCAGCCTTAACTCTTAGGGCATAAATTGTTTTCAAAAATTGTCTTCACAATTTTCTATCATTCTCATATTTAAAGAGTAGAAGTCAAACTTCAAAAAGGAATCAAATCTCTATCTCTAAGATAAAGCTTGTTAATTATCTCCTATTTGAATTTGGAACAAAATCTTCTCTTATCCTTATCCATTGTGGCCGGCCACCTTAGGGGATCTTCATCCCTGTGTGGCGCCAATTTGCAGATAAGGAAGGAATAGAAAATCATATTTTATCCTGTAGTCTAATTTTGACTCAAATTCAAATTTTAATTTAAGTCAAACTTAAATTAATTTGAATTCTAAATTGAACAATTTATCAAATAAGTTTAAATGGATAAATCTAGATGTGTTCAAATTCAAATTTAAATAATCAC